AATAGCAAGAACCTACAACCAAGATTACTCTACCCATCAAAGCTATCATTCAGAATTGAAGGTCATATAAAGAGTGTCACAGACAAGAAAAAGCTAAAGGAGTTCATCACCACCAAACCAGATTATATGAAATGCTGAAGGGTATTCTTTAAGAAGAGGAAGAATAAGAAAAAGGTAAAGATAAAAAAAATTTAACAACAAAGTGACAACAAGTAATTATTTATCAACAACTGAATCTAAAAATCAAATGAATAAATCTGATAAACAGAACACACTGGAGAGTGGAATAGAATCAGAGGCATGGGAATGAAATAGACAAACGATTCTCAGAGGGAAGGGGTATAGAGATTAGACAAAGATGTTATATGCATGTTTTACCTATGGACACAGACAATAGGATAGCGAGGAATTGGGGGGAGATGGCAATCAGGTGGAAGGAAGCCATGGGGGAATAAAAGATGGTCATCCAACAGAGGGACTATGCATGCTATGAGCCTAATCAATGGACACAAACAATAGGGAGGTGGGGTATAAAGGGGGGAGGGTTAAGGGGGAAATAGGGACATATATATAAAAAATAAAAATTAATAAATTAATAAATAAAAATATTACAAGAAAAAAATATGTTAAATCTAATCTATACAACTGGTCAGCATAACCTTAAGAGAAATTGTTTCATCTGACAAAGATTTTTAAATGAAACTCTCTGAAGCCTGAAAATTATCATGGAAGGAAATAAAAAGAGGTTTCCTTCAAAAGTTGTAAGGATTAAAAAAATAAAATAAAATAAAGTATAGATAATATTAAAATTTACAAGTTAACTCACTTATCCCCAGTTTATTGCACATAAAAGACATCAATAAAGTTGATTTTATTTTTTAATTAAAAAAAAAGTTGTAAGGATTGTAATTGAAAATCAATACATTTGGCCTCTTGAACTAAAGTAAATAATTTGTGCGTTTGCCTCTCTGACAAAGTTTATATAAAGTTACAAAAAGAAATTGACAGCAGTTTGAAATTGAATTGCCAGAGCCCAGAGCAAAGAATATCCTTACATGATATTATCCTACAATGTCATTTAATTTTTGATATTTCACAACAGCATATTATTACCTCCTCCCCCCCCCCCCAAAAAAAAAAAAACACGAAAAGTTAAACTAATTCTCTGAATGTTTGGCAGCAATTTAAAAAAGGACATGAAAGAATTTAATCCCTTTCAGAAGGAATTAAGGCACTGGGGAGGCACTGGAACATTCTATATTGTCCCCTCTTGCTCTTTTGGCCAAGAGGGACCCTCCTCTTACAATCCAACTGTCCACAGCTGTTGCCTGAGCTTTCCTTTCATGCTGAGGTTGAAACCTCGTAGTGGCTGGTACCATGGATCTGTCTCTCGCCCAATGGTGTGAGCTGGGCCACCCCTGGAGAAGAAACCAGAATCCTCCAAAATATGTGATCAGTGCTGGGGCCTGCCAACAGGTGAGGGGATCCCAAGACAGGAGCTGGACTAGGAGGCCATAGGGGCATAGGCTACCAAGGAAATAGAACTGAACCTCAAATCACCTTGCTTTGCCCCAGAGGATGGCTGGTTAGCCAGAGACAGGTAAAATTCCTCAGGGAAGGAACAACTTAAGACAGGCACAGTCGCAGAGGGGCCATCAGGAGAGAACGTGGAGATCAACAGAGGTGGGGCACAGACCCTCACCTTGTAGGAACCTATACCTTCACCCCTTTGAGGGAGGTCTCCTGCTCCCATGGCTGCTTCACTTCCCATGCCCAGCTCAGATGGAGACCCAGGTAACAGATGGATACTTGGCCAGAAGCAGCTCCCTATATCTAAATCCAGCAGAGCACCAAGAATGCTCAGGGCCTACTCAAGAATGTAAATGATTCTTTCCACTAATATTTACAGTGTAAACTAAGATTGTTGTTAGAGTATTAAATTTGACAGTAAAATAGTAATCAAGTTTTCAGGTTAATTTAAATTGGTTAATAGAAATAAGTGAACATCCAAGAAAATTTAAGTGTACTGGACAAAAAGCTGTTCCTAAAGTATTAACTAAAATATCTATTGGTAGTGCATATCACGGTAAAATTGCTTAACATGAAATGAACCTAAAGCAGTCTTATTTTTGTGCAAAAACTTAAAATTTAAAGTTATCAAGACTGCATTACAAAATTTACAAAAGCATACATTTTAAAAAGGAGGATAGTAGGGTAATATCATGTAAGAAAAAATATACTGTAAGTAAATTACATCTAGAAAAATTTTACTGTAGGAAATTAATTTTTATTTGTAATGCTAACAGAAAGACACCATGAAAATCACACATAAGCCAAAAGAAAATTATTTGGGCAAAAATAAAAAGGATTCCAAGTCAATTTTATAGAAAAGATTCCTTTATTAACTCTTGGTTGAGAATATGTTTGTATATTTTCAGAAAACTACTCCAAGACCATGGGGATTCCTGCAACAGAGAGGAGTTGTCAGGTCTGCTCCAACCACAAAGACAAGAGGAGAAAGAGTCCAGAGATAGAAGAAGCTGAAGATGCCTGGCCACGCTAGCAGTCAGCAGCTGTGCGTTGCTGCAGGTTGCCCAGGACCAAACCAGAGAGGGTCGGACTTACATTGTCACCATCTGTCCATCATCCAGATATCATTGCTGGCATGTACACATAAGGAACTATTTGACATTGAAACTGGGTCTCAGAACTTTTGGACACTTAAATTGGGACTCAAACATTTTTTGTTATTGTATGTTTATTTCTAGTCTGTAGATGCAAGATTTTTCAAAGAAAAGAAATGGGGAAAAATAGTTATAGAAATAAAGAACCATTGAACAGACTGTCAAACTATAGATGAAGGCAAGGGAGGTTGGGGGGCTATAAGAGATCAACCGAAGGACTTGTATGCATGCATATAAACATAACCAATGGATACAAGACACAAGGGGGGGGTAGGTGAAGGCATATGTTGGGGGATAGGGGAGGCTGGGGGAAGGTCAAGGGGGAAAAAGGAGACATATGTACTACTATTTGTAATTCTTCAAACAATTAAAAAAAAAAGAGGGAGAAAAAAATAATGATCATCTGTAATAATCCTACCTAATAAAATAGTAATATGCAAATTAACCACCACCCCACTACATCCCCAAGCCACTCCCCCAAGCCAATCAGAGCGAGTATGCAAATAACTCTGATCAAGATGGCTGTCACCACAGAAAGTAAGAGGGAGGCTTGGGTTTCTCCAGCAATAGAGGAAGTCAAGCTTTCCACAGACCCTGGCTGGTCCAGGCCTCCACTCAAGAATACAAAGTTTCAATTAATAGAAGATAAATCCCAAGAAAAATGGTAGCAGCCATGGAACTGGAGAGAGTAGGCTAGGGTTGCCCTGGTGATGGAGGAAGCCAAGCTTTCTACCTGCCTAGGCCTCCATTCCAGGCTACAAAGTTTCAATTATAGAAGGTGAATAAACCCCAACAGAAATAGCTGTTGCCACAGAACAAGAAGAAAGCTTGGCTTTGCCCCAGGCTACAAAGTTTCAATTGTAGAAGATAAATAAACCCCAGATACCAGGGCCTCCGCTTGGATCACCAGGGTGCATGGCTGGCCTGAAAACCACCACAGGCTCCTCGCTAAGGCTGCTCCACGCCTCAAGGGAACCCCCACCCAGATCTGGGACACCCTTCTGGGCAAGCCAGCTAGCCCCCACCCATGCACCAGGCCTCTATCCTATCTAATAAAAGAATAATATGTAGATTAACCATCACTCCAACATACAAGATCAAGATAGCTACCCCCATGTGGTCAAAGATCCTGCCCCCATGTAGACACAAAATGGCCACCACAAGATGGCCATCAGGGGAGGACAGTTAGGGGCCATCAAGCCTGCAGGAGAGGGCAGTTAGGGGTGACCAGGCCAGCAGAGGAGGAACATTGGGGGCAAACAGGCTGGCAGGGGGGCAGTTAGACATCAATCAGGCTGGCAGGCAAGGTGGTTAGGGGCAATAAGGAAGGCAGGCAGGTGAGCAGTTGGGAGCCAGCAGTCCTGGATTGTGAGAGGGATGTCCCAGATTGGAGAGGGTGCAGGCTGGGCTGAGGGACACCCCCTTTCCCCATGCATGAATTTCATGCACTGGGCCTCTAGTCTCAACAATAAAGATTAATTTTAAAAATTTAAAAATTAAAAAAAAACATAGCAATAGGTTCATACTCTATTACCAATAAAGCATCCATTAGCAAACTGTTTTTAACATTCATAAGCAATTTTATAAACTGAGAACAAAAAATCTAACTTCCATATAATTATGTAATCCTATATAATAAAGAATATGCAAATTGACCCTTATGCCCTCATGTCACAAGATGGCCACCCTATGTTGTAACAAGATGGCTGCCCCCCACATCATCACAAGATGGGCACCCCCACATTGTCACAAGATGGCCAGCAGGGGAGGGCAGTTGGGGGCAACCAGTTCTTCAGGAGAGGACAGTTGGGGGGATCAGGCCTGCAAGAGAGGGAAGTTGGGGGCAACCAGGACTGCAGGGAGGGCATTTGGAGATGATCGAGCTGGCAGGGGAGCAGTCAATCATGCTGGCTGGGAAGGAGTTAGAGGTCAATCAGTCCACCAGGGGAGTGGTTAGGGGACTATAGGGCTGTTAGGCAGGATGGTTAGGGGCAATCAGGCAGGCAGGCAGGTGAGTGATTAGGAGCCAGCAGTCCCGGATTATGAGAGGGGTATTCCAGATTGAAGAGGGTGCAGGCTGGGTTGAGGGACATCCCCTCAGTGCACAAATTTTGTGCACCGGGCCTCCAGTATTCAATAAATCTCTATTCCCTTATCATGAAGTTCAGGAACAGTTATCTATACAAAAATATTAGTTACATATTAAATGATCATGGAAGTGTTCAAATTAAATACAGATGTTTATAATGGCACCTAGCAAAGGAGAATTAATTGTATAAATAGAGACAGAACCTTTAAAATGAACCTGATACTTACCAATAATCCACAGTATAAGAAGATAGTCTATTCTTTCAAGGGCTGGTCCCATAGTGTTTTTCTTATCCTCATTGTAGACAAGAGAATATAGGTTTAGTAACAGCAAGAATGTGAAATATGATGCTCCATGAATAATAAATTTCATAAAGGGTGTATGAATGATTCTGCCAAATTGAGATTTGGGAGCTATCAAATAGCAAAGTGACAAAAGTGGCCACAAGATGCCAACTGTTAAAACAGTCAATATCTTCTTACAGGTAGGCTTACGTCGGTAACCTGACATCTGTCCAAACCAAACAGTGTTCAAAAACTGTTGGCAGTTAGACTGGGAGACAAACTGAAAAGGAATACACAGATTTTAAAAAAAGTGAAGTGAAACCTGTAAATAGGATAATACCATTATTTAACTTACATTTAAAGTTTTAATAGTAGCTTAAAATATGGTCCACATAGATTTTTTTCTCACATGTAATAAAGAATATAGAGGTTAAAAACATAGACACACTGGAGCCAGATTACCTAGATTCAAATCTAGGCTCTATCACTCATTAAATGACCTTGAACAAGTTTTTAAACCTCTCTAACCCTCAAATTCCCTACATGTAAAATGAAGATAGTAATAGTATCTAGTTCATAAACTTGTTACAAAGATTAAATGTAAAGCTCTTAAAATAGTGCATGGTTAATAGCATTTACTATTATATAGTGATGGTTATTAACTAGCCTCCTTAATATTTTGCAAATTTAATTTATAAATGCTCTTATAATAATGTTTATAAAATTTCAATGTTAACAAGTAAAATTCATAGAAAGAGACTTCAGTCTATAAAAACTAATGATTTCAGTTACAAGAAACAAAGATGTCAAGATAACAAAACTATCTTGTTAACAAGATAAGATAACAAAGTATAAAATCAGACATATTTATGTCTATTAAAGCATAAAAACTTAAATGCAATAAAGTTACTCTTTAATCTACTTAAATTGAATTCGGTGTGACAAAGAAAAATGTTCCTAAATAAAAAGAAAATTCTAGTTTGCAAATTCCAGAAGTGTTTCCCCAGTATAATGCTACTTAAAAGGATTCTGATAGCTCTACATAAGTAACAGGATCAGGTTTAAAGTTACTAAAGTCAAGCAAAGTGATAATAACATCATTCAGATATCTAAATAATATTTAGCCACTCTTTTGTTTTAAAATGATTTATCCTGAGATAAAACTTAAAACAAAGTTTTTAAAACTAAATTTCTATTGTTTATTATGCTTATTAAGAAATTTCCCAATATATTATATATTTCTTTTGGCATTTAATTCTTACTTAATCTTTTATTCTTTTGTGCAGATTCAGGTGTTCCTACAGAATTTTAATTTGTCTTTCAAGATGAAATATTGAAGAAATAGCCTTTTCTCCCAACAAATACCTAATTTAAAAACATGCCAAACTTACTGGTTTACCCTTCCCCCAAATAGCAAAGCAATCTTAGGACTATTTGATGTCTTTGCCATTCCTCTATATAATGATGATTTAATTAACAGTAACATTAAATATTTAATTAGAAAAACAAAATTTCAACTGGAAATGTTACAAGTCTGTGGTGGATTTTAAATTCTTTGATACTCCTCTTATCAAGAGATGTGCAATCAATGTTTCCTACCCTTCAACAAGTTTGTTATTACTTTTTTAAAATTTTTTGTTTATTTATACTTATTTTGTTGTCGTTAATATTCCCCTGCGGATATTTTTTTCCATTGGTTTTTAGGGATTGAACCTACAAGCCAGGTGTGCCCTTGACTGGGAATTGAAACTGTGACAACTTTGATGCACAGGCTAGCACTCTAACCACTGAGCACGACTGACCATGTCTGTGAATGCTTTCACCCAGGAGATTCTGGAAGAAGTAACACTATGTGACTTCTAAAGATAGGTCATAAAAGGTCATGCAATTTTTGCTTTGAAGAACACTTGCACTTGGAGCCATAAACTGCATAATGTTCTCCGGCCATGAAACCACCCTGCTGTAAGGAAGCCCAGGCTATATAGAAGCATTCTAGTCAGCCCTCAGAGGATTCTCAGACCATCTCCTTGCAGCCAACCCATCATGACAGCCATGCCCCTCCTCATTTACAGTTCTCAGGATGCCCACCTCTATGGACCCATCCACCTGAGCATCCAGCCCACTCAGAGTTCCTTGTTTAAGTCCTCATATTTCTGGTTTAAGTCCACCAGAAATATTATTGACAAAGCCTCCAGATGATTGCAGCCCTGATCATTAGAATTAACTCCAGGTGGGCCCTACACATAGTAAGACAGAGACAAATCATCTTTGCTGTATTCTTTCCTAATTCCAGACCTAAAGGATCCAAGAGAATTATAAAGTGAATTATGAAACTATTATAAAATAATTATGAAATGCTGTTTTGTGCCTGACTCTTAAGTATCAGGGTACTTTGTCATTCAGGATGAATTACCTAAATAAAGTTTACCAACTATTTGGGAAAATATTATCTTCTCCTTTAATCATATTTAATTCATCCTTAAAATTATAGAGTATCTTCCTTTCAATTAAAAATATTACTATTTTTTCTTTTAAAAGTAAAGAAGCATTTATTACCAAAAAATGCAAATAATGTTAATCATGTACAACCAAAAATCATTGAGAGATTATGCTCTGCTAAGTAAGAGAAAACATCCAGAGTCTGCCTGAAATGAGGAAAGTGTTGGATTCTCACATAAAGGACTGGCTCAGAGCAGTCACTGCACAGTGTGGTAGAAGAACAAACTTCTACATGACTCCTTCACACTGCACCATTGTAGCTGTCACAATAGGATCTGAATCACAGCCAGCAATAGTATCAACAGGACAAACTATATCTAATACAAATGCCATCTAGAGGAGTTCAAAGCCTTCAGGAACCATCTCAACCATGACACTCTACATGTTGCCACCATATGCTAGACACCTATGGGCTTGCAGGAAAATCCAACCTATGCTGAATCTTTAATGTTGAATTCTGAACATCTGACATCAATGGAAGAATATTCTTGGATGGCAGGGCAAAGACTAAAGAAAACAACCTAAAAGCAAATTTACACAAAAGCTATATGCTTCTGTCTATCTCTGTTACTTTAAGTGGCTTCAAATCATTCTAAACCTATTGCACTTCTGCACTAAAGTTTAATGTAAGTTAGACTGTGGTTAGGAAGGATCATCTCCAACTATCACAGGTATTCTCTTCTTAGTGCAAAGTTCATCGTTCAGATCCCAGCCAAAATCAATGACAAAAAGCAAAAGACAATAGATGAAAATAATTCACATGGGACTCTACAATGACATTTAAGTACTTACAAATATATGGTAAACATTTATTAAAATAATACCAAATGTCAAGTGTAATTGAAAAATTAAAAAATATGAATTGACAAGGTCAATGAAAAAGCACTTTTCTCTTAAAATAAGTATACATGTGGGTAAGGCATATTCATTCAATACTTGCCACAGGAGACCAATAGAGAAAAAATGAACAAATACCCAAAAATCATTTTTCAATGTTGCTTTCCTTACAGAACATTACAAATTTGTATAAAAGGTACTTATTGCCGAAACCGGTTTGGCTCAATGGCTTGGGGAGTGAAAGGTCCCGGGTTCAATTACGGTCAAGGGCATATACCTTGGTTGCGAGCATATCCCCAGTAAGGGGTGTGCAAGAGGCAGCTGATGACTCTCTCTCATCGATGTTTCTAACTATCTCTCTCCCTTCCTCTCTGTACAAAATCAATAAAATATATATTTAAAAATAAATAAATAAATAAATAAAAGGTACTTTTTTACTTTTCTTTCATCTTCTTTAGAATGAAATATTTGATATCTCTTGTGTGTCCTCCAGGGATACAAATATGTCATCAGGAAACTGCCTCTTAGTTTTTTTCTTTCCAAACTAGGGTAGCCCTGGTTCTTTCCACCTCTCTTTGATTCTTTTCCCAATCACTTAAGTTGATTTTGTATCTTGTTATCTCTCTATTCTAACATTTCATGTTTAAGTTGTAGAACAACATAGTAAATAAATTAACCTAAGATTTAGTCAATAATGTCTAGTCAAAATGTATATTAGAGGAAGTTTGCATGTTTCTACTTATATGCATTAGCATTGTATTTCCTTTTGAAATCATATAGGTATTTTATTGATTTATAATCTTATAGCTATAATGATTCAAATTATTGTACTTAATTTATTTCCTTATAAATTTTCTACCTTAACTAATGACCTTGGAATAGTAAGAGAAAAAACTATTATAACAGATCAATAAAACAAACTAGACAAACAAAACACAAGAGGGAAAGTTTACTGTGAGGTCATGACATAAGATCTTACCTGTGTAGTTAATATTTCCCAAAACATTAAATTAATACATATTATTATTAAAATTAAAAATAATAGCAATTACCCCTGAATACTTGCTTAATACTAGTACTTATTATACTAAACTCTTAACTATATATTCTTAGTTAATTTTTAAAACTAAAGCTCAGACAGATTCAATAACTTTCCTAAGGCTGCACATTTTTATGAAGAAGAACTAGGATCTCAACTTATATGTACTGCTCCAAAGCCTTGCTCTGAGCCACTAGACTACTGTGGAGGAAATAAGGTAAATACATCGCAGAAATCATCATACCTCCTTTTGGTTATATTTGATAGCAAGTTTTAGACGACTTAGATTCATTCTTTCTTCTAATAATCCTCGTTTGTCAAGAGGCTCATCACTAGATGTATGGTTTAGAATAACTTCCAATTCACGTGAATTCCGGGCTTGTGCAAGCAAATCTTTAGCAAACATTTTACATTGCTGGGCTAGTTCCTCATAATCGTTCCTACAAAATAGTATGGTTGATTATTAGAAATGTTAGTTCCAACTTCTAACTATGCTAGATTCACTAGAAAACTTTTACTCGGTAATATTTTAGTTCTGATAGTGGTGTGTGAAGTCATTATGTTCTGACTGTTAAAGGAACTTACTGTGCATTAATTTTCCTCAGCTTTGGAAAAACTGTCACACAGTTATGTTCATGGTGTTCACACAATATTCATCTATCTATCTATCTATCTATCTATCGATATCCCTAGAAATTCTGATATTTGCAACTAGTTTTTAATTCATTTCCCTTATTCTCTACTAGAGGCCCAATGCACAAATTCATGCACGGGTGGGCTCTGACCAACTGGCCTGGCCCAATTGGGGTGGACTGGGGCTGGGCCTGTCAGGAGGAGGAGATGGCAGGAGGTTGGCTGGGCCAGTTGGGGGAGGGGCTGTAAGTGGTTGTCCAGCAGGCCTCATCCCCTATTGGGATTGGGGGGCCAATTTAGAGTGGGGCTGGCCATGGGGAGGGGCTGTGGATGGTTGGCCAGCCAGCCCCACCCCCAAATGGGGTAGGGAGTGCCGATCAGGGGCCACCGGCCTGGGTGAGGAGGCAAGAATCGTTGGCTGGCTGGCCCTGCCCGATTGGCCCTGCCCCTGATTGGTGGGGCCAGGCAGGGGGAGGGGTTGCAGGAGGTTGGCCGACCAGCCCCAACCCCTTTTGGGTGCGAACAGGGATGGGCCAGCTGTGGGGAGGGACTGTGGGCTTATTATGGTAGGGTGAAGCTTGTGGGGAAAGGGTGGGGACATTTGGCTGGCCCCACTCTTGATCTTGGTGGGAAAGTTCAATCAGGGGCAAGCTGGCACGGGGGAGAGGCCTTGAGGTTGGCTGGCCAGCCCCACCCACCGCAGTTTGCTGGCCACAGTGGGCATCATAGCAACTGGTCTTTAGGTTGTTATGGGCGTTACAGTAGCTGGCTTCTTATATATATAGATAAGTTTGGTATAAAACTTCCTTTTATATTACTTATCTAAACAATATTTTTATGGTAACCAATAAATGTTATTCTATAGCTTTTAACTAAACATTTTTTTCAATAACAGTCTACAACATGTTTTTGCTACTTCTAATATTAAAATATTATTGATTCATTTTTAAAGTGTTCGTATAAAAAAATGTTAAAAAGAAAGATCTTAAAACATGTCAAGAATTCTCTTTCAGAATCACATTTCCTTAAAACTTAGGATTTAACTGTCGTTAAAGTCAGGCCTAAATCAATTTGTGAATAACTAAGAAGTTTTAGTAGACCATTTTTTAAAAATATATCAATTATATTCAATATATATTTGAGTATAAAATTTTAGAATAAAGTTAGAAATAAATAGTTATGAGAAATTTGTATTCCTTTTTTCTTAAAAGGAAAGGAAGATAAAATAGGAAGATTTCCTAGTAATTAATTTTCTATAAAACAGAATCTTTCATAAACTGGCTGCATAAAATTATCATTTAAAAATTTTTAAACTCTTAGGGGCTAACATTTTCCTCATCCATTTTTTGCATTTACTATGTAACCAAAATACCTAAGAACAACTGAATTAATACCTGCTTCCTAGTTTAGAAATCTAGTTGCATGTGGGAACATTCATCTAGGACAAAGATATCTCACCTTTAGATAAAGATTGTAAGACCTTTTTCTATATTCAAAGGTAAAATGAGTACATTTTATAAACCTAATTTGCTTACACTCTAATAGATTCCTGGAAGACTGCAAATAGGCTGTATAATTTAAATGGAGATATAGTAGACTAGATGTAAAGAGTTCTCTGTTCTAGTTACAACTCTGCTCCTAATGTCAACTCTGTTCCTAATTAACTGTTGGTTATCAGTAAAACAGCTAACCTATATAGATCACATTCTCTGCCTATAAAAACAACGGGTTATAGAAAAGGAGTCTATGATCACTTCAAAATCTAACTATTAGTCTATGATAATAATTTAATCATAGTAGTTATTTCAAATAACTTTTTGGGAGGAATTGTATTTTATATGGTAACTCAGAACTCTGATTATGAGATTATAATAAAAAGTTCTTCATATTTAAAAAGAAATAATTTATTAACAGTCTCATGTGCTAATTAAAGCAGCAACAAATTACATTTTAAGCATGTCTCATGTTCATCCAAGTATACACTTTGTTATTTCAAGTTCAGGTAAATTTTAATGTATCCAAATTAAAATATAGTATTTCTAAACTTGAAAAAGTATAAACAGGTATTTTTAAAGATTTCTGGAACTCAGAGCTCTCAAGAACACACACGATGTACTGCTGTAAAGGCAAAAAAAATTTGCAAGCTTCATTTTGCCCTTCCAGTAAGTAGAAATATGAATTTTCTCAATCTTATCAAATCATTGGAGGAAAGCAATGTAAGACATGGGCTCCACCATCATCTGGACATGGAAAGAAAGGTGGGAACTGGCAAGAAATCTTGATCAGTTCTTCCTTCTTTGGAAGGCATCAGGGATACTTTAACTTAAGGGAAATTCTCAAAGCTATTCCTCATGTTGACTAAATGTAGTTTTCTAAAAAAAAATTTTTTTTAAATGTCTATCAGTAGTTTAATAGGCTGCTTTTTTCAAAGGCCCCCTCCCCCAACTTACCTATCTACAAAAAAAATTACTAACAACAATTTTGGGGGTATACAAATTGCACATAACTCTTCATTTCAGAAGAAATGTCTACATGCTATACTTCTCCTAACAGAAACTCTCACTAAACAGTGAAAATGAACTAGGTCACTCTGTGTGAGACATCCCTGACATTCAGAAAGCATTCCATATGCTTCTAAAACTTATGAAGAATCACACTCCAGTTACTATAAAATGTGGAGTAGGGAAGATAGGACAGAGAATAGTTATAAACGGTTTTGTCCTTCTCAAGTTGCCACTCCCAATCCTCTTTCCACTGCCCTTGGATGCTTTTGGCAATGTGGAACAAAGCAGAGAGCAGATGGGAAGACGTGACCTACATTATACCACTGAAAGAGAAGGGAAACGTTAGCAGATGGCAGCAAGATCAATCATCTTGAATAAAATGTAAATATATATTTTAAATTGCCCTATGAAAAAGGCTGAAAATATTCTGGAAAAAAGATAAAATATAATTTATAATTTCTATTCATTCCCACCTGAATTCCACCTCCACAAGGCTTAGTTCTTTTAAATCAGCACTAAGTTCAAATGCTCTCAGAATTGGATCTTCCTCTGTTAACATTATTAGAGCTGGGCTGGCCAAACAACGATATATATCAAGACGAAACCTATGATAAAAATGTATTCCATAATGTAAAATAAAATTATTATATACACATGATTAGTACTTTAAATTCACAATTTTCACAAATTTAAAATTATAGTATCCTAACTCAAAAGAAAATAAAACAAATATACTTATTACAGGATCACTTACATAAAAAGAAAGATACTTTGTGATAAAATAATGAAAAATTTACTATTCCTGAATCCAAATTTATTTTAAACTAGAGCCTGGTGCATGAAATTGGTGCACGGAGTTGGGGGGTGTCCCTCAGCCCAGCCTGCACCCTTTTTCAATCCGGGGCCCCTTGAGAGATGTCCAACTCACAATCCAGGAATGCTGGCTCCCAACTGCTCGCCTGCCTGCCTTTCTGATTGCCCCTAACTGCTTCTGCCTGCCAGACTGATCATCCCATAACCACTCCCCTGCCAGCCTGATTGATGCCTAATTGCTCCCCTGTCAGCCTGTTTGCCCCTGTTTGATCCTAATTTCCCTACATTGCAGGCTTGATCACTCCAAAATGCCCCCCCTCTGAATTGCCCTCCACTGACGGCCATCTTTGGCGGACATTTTGTATCCACATGGGGGCAGCCATCTTGTGTATTGGAGTAATGGTCAATCTTCATATTACTCTTTTATTAGATAGTATAGAGGCCTGGTACATGGGTGGGGACTAGCTGGTTTGCCCTGAAAGGTGTCCCAGATCAGGGTGGGGGTTCCCTTGAGGCATGGGGCAGCCTGGGTGTGAGGTCTGTGGTGATTTGCAGGCCGGCCACGCCCCCCCCCCCCCCCCCCCAGCAACACAAGTGGAGGCCCTGGTTTCTGGGGTTTATTTATTTATCTTCTACAATTGAAACTTTGTAGCCTGAAGCGGAGCCAAGCCTCCTTCCTGCTTTCTCCCTGGCAGCCATTTCTGTTGGAATTTATCTTCTATAATTGAAACTTTGTAGCCTTAAGAAGAGCCCTGGGCCAGATAGGGTGTAGGGAAAGCTTGGCTTCCTCCATTGCTAGGGGCAACCCTAGCCTCCTGCTCTTTCCAGCTCTGCGGCTGCCGCCATTTCTGTTTGGATTTATGTATCTTCAATCATTGAAACTTTGTAGCCTTGAGTGGAGACCTAGGCTGGCAAGGGAAGGCAGAAAGCTTGGCTTCCTCTATTGCTGGGGAAATCCAAACCTTCCTTCTGCTCTCTGTGGCCATAGACATCTTTGTTGGGGTTATTTGCATATTTGCTCCTGATTGGCTTGTGGGCGTGGCTTGTGGGCATGGCTTCTGGTGTAGCAAAGTGATGGATAATTTGCATATTCCTCTTATTAAATAGGAAGAAATATGTCAATAACTGATTTTAAAATTTTTTATTAAGGTGTTACATATGTGTCCTTATTATCCCATTATCCTTCCTTCCCCCCACTCATGCCCCATGCCCTTACCCCCCTGTTGTCTGTGTCCATTGATTAGGCTTATATGCATGCATACAAGTCCTTTGGTTGATCTCTCCTCCTTACCCACACCATACTCTACCTTCCCTCTGAAGTTTAATGGTCTAATCGATGTTTCTCTGTCTATGGAACTATTTTTGTTCATAAGTTTATGTTGTTCATTATATTCCATAAATAAGTGAGATCATGTGATGCTTATCTTTCTCTGACTGAGTTATTTCACTTACCATAATGCTCTCCAGTTCTATCCATGTTGTTGCAAATGGTAGAAATTCCTTCATTTTTAGCGCAGGGTAGTATTCCATTATAAAGATGTATCACAGTTTTATAATCCACTCATTTGCTGATGGGTACTTAGGCTGTTTCCATATCTTAGCTATGGTAAATTGTGCTGCTATGCACATAGGGGGGCATATATCCTTTCTGATTAATGTTTCTAGCTTCTTGGGATATATTCTATCAATAAAAGTGAGATTACTGGGTCAAATGGGAGTTCCATTTTTAGTTTTTAGAGTTAACTCCATACTGTCCTTCACAGTGGCTGCACCAGTCTACAATCCCACCAGCAGTGCACCAGCATTCCTTTTTCTCCGAATGCTTGCCAACATTTGTGGTTTATTGATTTGTTGATGATAGCCATTCTGGCAGGTGTCAGATAGTACCGCATTGTTGTTTTGATTTGCATCTATTGGATAATTAGTGACTTTGATCATGTTTGCATATGTCTCTTGGCCTACCTTCTGTCTTGTTTCAAAAAGTTTCTATTTAGATCCTTTGCTCATTTCTTGATTAGATTTTTATCTTCCTTTTGTTAAGATGTATAGTTCGTGTATGGTGGTCGATTTTCTTTTTTTTTTTTCTTTTGCCTGTAACTGTCCAATTTTCCCAATACCATTTATTGAAGAGGCAGCCTTGATTCCATATGGCAGTCTCTTCAATAAATGGTATTATATGTTCATGCCCGCTTTGTCAAATATTAATTGGGCGTAGTGGTTTGGGTTGATTTCTAGTCTCTCTATTCTATTTCATTGATCTATATGTCTGTTCTTGTGCCACTACTAGGCTGCTTAAAGAGCAGTGGCTTTTGCCAAAACCGGTTTGGCTCAGTGGTAGAGCATCGGTCTACAGACTGAAAGGTCCCGGGTTTGATTCTGGTCAGGGGCATGTACATTGGTTGCGGGCACATCCCCGGTAGGGGGTGTGCAGGAGGCAGCTGGTCGATGTTTCTCTCTCATCGACGTTTCTGGCTCTCTTTCTCTCTCCCTTCCTCTCTGAAAAAAAAAATCAATAAAATATATTTAAAATAAAAAGAATAGTGGCTTTGTAATGTAGCTTGAAATTTGGTATTGAAATCCCACCTACTTTGTTCGTCTTTTTCCGGATGGCTGCAGTTATTCAGGGTCCTTTTATATTCCAGATGAATTTTTGGAGTGTTCATTCTAGGTCTGTGAAATATGCCATTGGTATTTTAGTGGGGATAGCATTGAATCTATAGATTGCTTTGGGTAGTATGGATATTTTGATGATGCTAATTTTACCAATCCATGAACATGTTATGTTCTTCCACCTGTTTATATCTTCCTTTATTTCTTTTTTTCAATGTCCTGTAGTCTTTTACCTCTTTAGTTAAGTTTATTAAGGTATCTTAATTTATTTGGTGAGATGGTAAATGGGATTTTTCAGTCTTTCTTTCTGTAAGTTCACTATTGGTATGTAGAAATACCATAGATTTCTTGGCATTAATTTTGTATCCTGCTACCTTCCCAAATTCATTTATTTAAGTCTAATAATTTTCAGATGGAGTCTTTAGGGTTTTCTATGTACAGTATCATGTCATTTGCGAATAAGGACCGTACTTCTTTTCCAATTTGGATGTCTTTTATTTCTTGTTGTCTAATTGCAATGGCTAGTAATTCCAGAACTGTGTCGAACAGGAGTGGTGAGAGGGTATCCTTGTCTTGTTCCTGTTCTTAAGGAAAAAATGTTTTAGTTTTTGTCCATTGAGTGTGATGCAGGCTGTGGGTTTATCATATATGACTTTTATGATGTTGAGATATGATCCTTTATTGCCACCTTGCTGAGAGTTTTATCAAGAAAGGGTTTTTCTATGGATGAGAACAATGGGGGGGAGGAGAGGGGGCGGAAGGTGGGGTGGGAACCTGGTGGAGGGAGGAAGAAATGAGGAACCTTTGTAATAATATGAACAATAAAGATTGATTTTTAAAAAATGAAAATAAATTTTAAAAAAAGGTGGAACAGCCAAAAAAAGAAAAGAAAAGAAAAGAAAAGAAAAGAAAAGAAAAGAAAAGAAAAGAAAAGAAAAGAAAAGAAAAGAAAAGAAAAGAAAAGAAAAGAAAGGGTGTTGGATATTGTCAAATGCTTTTTCTGCATAAGTTGATATGACTATGTAATTTTTCTCCTTCAATTTATTTATGTGATGCATCACGTTTATTGATTTGTGGATATTGTACCATCCTAAGATAAATCCTGCTTGGTCATGGTGTATGATCTTTCTGATGTGCTGCAGGATCTGATTTGCTAGAATTTTGTTGAGGATTTTGGCATCTATATTGACCTGTAATTCTCTTTCATTGTGTTGTCTTTGTCTGGTTTTGGTATTAGGGTGATGCTGGCTTCATAGAAGGAACTTGGAAGTGTTCTTTCCTCTTGGATTTTTTTTAATAGTTTGAGGAGGATAGGTTTTAGTTCTTCCTTGAATGTTTGGGATAACTCCCCTGTGAAGCCATCTGGTCCTGGGCTTTTGTTTGCTGGATGCTTTTTGATGACTACTTCAATTTCTTCCATAGTTATTGACATATTGATATTTTTAGAATCTTCCTGATTGAGTTTTGGAAGGTTGTATTTTTCTAGGAATATGTCCTTTTCCTCCAGGTTGGCTTGTTTGATGGAACAGAGTTGTTCATAATATTTTAAAAACAATCCTTTGTATTTCTGTGGGATCTGTTGTTATTTTGCGCTATCATTTCTGATTTTGTTTATTTGAGTCATCTCTCTTTGCTTCTTGGTAAGCCTGGCTAGAAGTTCATCAATCTTGTTTATCCTTTCAAAGAACCAGCTCTTGGTTTCCTTGATCTTTTGTATATATTTTTTTAAAATCTTTATGTCATTTATTTCTGCTCTAATCTTTATTATCTCCTTCCTTCTGTTCACTCTGGCCTTTTCTTGTTGCTCTCTTTCTAATTCTTTGAGTTGTAGCATTAGATGATTTATTACCATTTTTTTTCTTGTTTTTTGAGGTAGGCCTGTGGAGCTATAAACTTGTGCCCGATAGGTTTTAGATTGTTGTGTTTTTATTGTCATTAGTTTCCAGAATGTTTTTAATTTCTTCTGTGATCTGATTAGTAACCCAATCAATATTTAATAACATACTATTCAGCTTCCAAGTGGTTGAGTGTTTTGGATTTTTTTTTTTTTTGTAGTTTATTTCTAATACTGTATCATTGTGGTCTGAAAAGATGCTTGGTTTGATTTTAATCATCTTGAGTTTGGGGAGACTTTGCTTGTGACCCAGTCTATTTTTCAAAATGTCTCATGTAAGGTTGAGAA